ACCGATGCCAGACAGTCCTGTTTCTCCCGTATGAGTCTGGGTCCCCAGAGACTCGCCCGGAACTGGAGCTCAGAGCTTGAGACTCCCTCCCGATTGAAAAAGACAACAGTGTCCTCAGCCGCCAGCCCTCTCCGCATGCACCTCCTCACCTTTGTATTTTACTTCTGCACCGCACCTCCTCTGAGTCTTGGTATGCTTTTCTCTTTTCTTCTAGTTGTAGAATTTCCACTCAGCCAGCCTTCCTGTGGTTCTGGGTGATGTCCGTTCCATCTTTTAGTTGTATTTTTGAAGTGGTTGTGCGAGGCAGCAATCTCCGGTGTTTACCTATGCCACCATCTTGGTTTCTGATTCAACAGCTTTATAATCACTGTCACTGACATTCTGGGAAGAAAGGTGGCAAAAGCTTATTGTCAAACTGAAAATTTATTAATATATTCCCCTTTCTTATTCTTATAGGGCATTAATATTCAGCTGAGTGACATAAAGAAAAGTGTGCAGGGGATCATTCATCGCTACACTTTTGATGAGTTTGTGGAGACTGGAAGGAAAGTGTCTCTTTCAGAATATAAGAAACAGAGAACAAAGGTGCTGGAGAAAGTATCTTTTTGTGCTAATTCTGCTGACATTAAAGAAAAGATTCTTATCTACATCCTGGCCTGGTTGAAAGAATGGAGTAAGTTTTCAAAAGTGGCTTGAAGGAAAACCATAAAGTTGATGAAAAAGCTAGAGAGCAGGATCTATAAGTAAATTTTGAAGGACTAGTAGACTAAAGAAAGAAAGTATTAAGGAGTTGTCCTCTATTTCAGTAAGAATCTATATATATAAAACGTTAAGCAACCGTCTGACCTCCCAACAGTCCGACTGGTCAGTAGCTATGATGCACACTGACCACCAGGGGGCATATGCTCAATGCAGGAGCTGCAGAGCTGCGGTCACTTGGCAGTGGCAGTTCTCAAGTGATGCACCCCGGAACTAGAGAGGAGGGAGCCCGATTCCTCGTGACTCCTCTCCCACACTGGGTCCCCTCAGGGGATGTCAGAGAGCCAGTTTCAACCCAATCCCCCAGGCCAGGCCAAGGGACCCCACCTGCTGAAGGGACCCTGCTCACTCCTCAGTTGCCCTTTGAGCTGCAGCACTGGGCCAGGTGCGGCTGGCCAGGGAGGGACCATGGGAGGTTGGCCCCAGGGCATGTCTGGCCTGTCTCACCCAGTCCTGCCTCACTGGCCACCACTCAGGACTGCCTGCATTAGTCCCTGCACCAGAGGGACTAATTAATTTCCTTTCAATATGCACGAATCCATGCACTGGGACACTAGTAAAGTAATAAAAATATGGCTTGCTCACTTAGTGCCAATAATTCTGGCCTCCTTGTTTTGCTTCAGGCATGCCAGTATGCTCCTGCCCAGTGTCTTTATGCTTCCTATTCCCTTGCCTAAACATTTTTTACTAGGTAGACACATGGCTCATTCTCTGCTTATATCTTGCTTTAAAATGAGGTGTTTTCTTTCCTCTGAAGCAGGGGCTAATGGTTTGACATGCTGTAATTGCCTAGCAGAGAGTCATCATTTTGGTCCAATGATGGGAAGTCAGCTCAGTTGGCAGGGAGTGTGGTGGTGGGGGCATCCAAATTAAAGAGAATTATTTTCTAATACTATTTAATTTGGTTTGGCTCAGTGGAAGAGCATATGCCTGCAGACTAAAATGTCCCAGGTTCGATTCTGGTCAAGGGCACATTCCCGGGTTGTGGACTAGATCCCCAGTAGGGGGCCTGCAGGAGGCAGCAGATCAATAATTCTCTCTCATCTTTGATGTTTCGGTCTCTCTCCCTCTTCCTCCGTCTCTGAAATCAATAAAAATATTTTTTAAAAATAAAATTTTTGCTATCTCTTTCCTACAGTGACTTTTTTCTTATTCATAAAATAAATTATAATGAATTATACCTATAAAACCTTTATTTAAGTCCAGAGTCTACTCAGCAGCCTTGATCTGTATTCATATATACTAGAGGCCCGGCGCATGAAATTAGATCCCCAGTAGGGGGCCTGCAGGAGGCAGCAGATCAATAATTCTCTCTCATCTTTGATGTTTCGGTCTCTCTCCCTCTTCCTCCGTCTCTGAAATCAATAAAAATATTTTTTAAAAATAAAATTTTTGCTATCTCTTTCCTACAGTGACTTTTTTCTTATTCATAAAATAAATTATTATGAATTATACCTATAAAACCTTTATTTAAGTCCAGAGTCTACTCAGCAGCCTTGATCTGTATTCATATATACTAGAGGCCCGGTGCATGAAATTCATGCGCAGGTATGGTCCCTAGGCCTGGCCTGCGATTAGGGCCATCTTCCCCAGCTGCCTGCAGCCAGCCCCACCCCCTCCCACCCCCGGTTCCCCATTCGCCATCGGGTGATCGGTGCCTGACAGCCGGGGGAAGGGACTGAGAGGTCAGCTGTTCCCACCCGCTCACCAGCCCCACCCCCACTGCGGGTGGCCATCAGGTGATTGGAGCCTGTCAGCCGGGGAAAGGGACCAAGAGGTGGTCAGTGTGCCTCATAGTGACTGGTCCAGCGGTTTTTCTGGTCGTTCTCCCGTTAGGGTCAATTTGCATTACCCGTTTATTATATAAGTTAGAGGCCTGGTGCACAGGTGACAGCCAGCTGGCCTGCCCTGATGGGGGTCTCTGATCAGGGTGGGGTTCCCTGCTGGGGGGCCGCCGGGAGTTTGCAGGCTGGCCACGCCCCCGATCGGTCTGGGTTCGCTGGCCGCAGTGGGCATCATAGCGACTG